CGATCCGCATCAATCCTCTGATTCCAACACTTTTCGGGGTTATCGCTACGACGTGTTCTTGAGCTTCAGAGGCGAAGACACTCGCAAGACTTTTACCGACCACCTCTACACAGCCTTGAACAACGCAGGATTTCTCACTTTCCGAGACGACAATGAACTTGAGAGAGGAGAAGATATAAAGCCAGGACTGCAGAAAGCGATCCAGCTGTCACGGACTTCTGTTGTCGTGTTTTCGAAAGATTACGCGTCATCCGGATGGTGCCTCGATGAGCTTGTGGTGATCCTTAAACACAAGAGGACTTCAACTGATCATGTAGTTTTACCAGTCTTCTACGATGTCGATCCGTCCCACTTGAGGAAGCAGACGGGAAGTATTGGAAAAGCATTTGCTGAACACCAGAGAACTCAGTCGTCGAAAAAGGTGAAGGGATGGAGAGAGGCACTTGCAGAGGTTGCAAATCTAGCAGGCATGGTCTTAGCTGATGGGTAACTTTCATTTTCTCCGTTTCTCTTCTCTTTCTTCGGTCAATTTGATAATATGATTTGTAGGTACTAGACTTAGCATCCGTCTCGTATTTTTTTTGTGTTCGTGTCGTTTTCTGACATACGTATTTTAATCGGATGTCATGTGTTGACACCGATTAAAGTAAACAGGTAATTTGACCCAATCCTGAATCGTACAATATTATCAAGTAATATCACCTGACCCGACCCACTCCCCATTACAAAGTATATATTTAAATCATTATTTATTCATCCAATACTTCGGTGAGGATTTGGATTCTTTTACGAGGCAATGGAGAGGATCATCCTGACCAACTATTGTGGACCGTTGGATGAAAATCTCACGGCTACAAACAGCGAGTTCCTTTAAAGTTATAATAATTATAACCGTTGGATTTTCATCCAACGATTCACGATGGTTGGTCAGGAGGATCCTCTTCATTGGCTAAAGAGAGGATCCAAATCCCTTCGGTGAGACATGATGTCACATCCCAACATTTACAACCTTCTTCTGAAGCTCACATTAATTCCAATTTAACTCATGTTATACTTACAAAAGTACTTGATTAGAACTCCAATAACTATATTACACTGCATAAACTTGCCTTTTTTTCTTAACATACGATAATGTGAAACTTCAAAAATATATAACAGTCACATCATGTAGAAAAATTTACAAACCAAAAGAAACAAATTTAGCAAAACTACCAATTAAGATGGTTTATTGCACATGACATGTTTGATTTATCTTTCATTTTGTTTCCAAATTCTTAGGTACGAGTCAAGGTTTATTGAAAAAATTGTTAAAGTGATTGAAGATAAGTTAAGTCGCGTGCCATTGAGTGTTGAACCAAAATTGATTGGAATCCATTCTCGAGTCAAAGACATCAATTTATGGTTACAAGACAGATCAACTGATGTTGGTATACTTCTTGTTTATGGGATGCCTGGAATGGGGAAGACAACAATTGCAAAACATGTTTACAATTCAAACTTTAGAAGCTTTGAAAGAAGTAGTTTCATTGAAAATATCAATAAAACAGCAGATCAACCAAATGGCTTAGTTCAAATACAAATGCAACTTCTTTATGATCTTTCGAACAGCAAAGAAGTGAAAATACATGGTGTTGGTGAGGGACTAAATAAGATTGAAAGAGTCATAAGCTCTAGAAGAGTTCTTCTTGTTCTTGATGATGTGGACCATATGGACCAATTAGATGCAGTACTAAAGATGAAAGATCGGTTTTATCCGGGAAGTAAGATACTTATAACAACCAGGCGTGCAAGGTTGCTAAAGGCACATCAAGTTACAAAGGTGCACGAAGTTGGAACTTTGTATTACGATGAGTCATTAGAGCTTTTCAGTTGGCATGCTTTTCGCCAAGACCATCCCCTTAGAGGTTACATGGAATATTCAAAAAAGGTTGTACACTATTGCGATGGACTTCCATTAGCTCTAAAAGTTTTGGGTTCATCTTTATCAGGGGAAAGTATTGATGTATGGGAAAGTACATTGGAGAAGCTAAAAGTTATCCCTAATGGTGAAATCATGAATAAACTAAGAATAAGCTATGACAGTTTACAAGATGACCATGATCGGAAATTATTCCTCCACATTGCTTGTTTCCTAATAGGAATGAACAAAAGCCACATTGTTAGAATACTCGATGGATGTGATTTCTATACAATTGTTGGCATTCAAAATCTCATTGATAGATGCTTGGTGACAATTGATGGATGCAACAAAGTGCAAATGCATGACATGATCCGTGACATGGGAAGAGAAATTGTTCGCCACGAATCAGAAGAGCCTGGAAAACGTAGTAGATTATGGCGCTATAAGGATTCTTTCGAAGTACTGAGGGAAAAGAATGTAAGAAACATGCATTTTATGTCTATATATGTATTTCTTATTGTGAAAATTATCCATACTAATGTTTCCGTTTTTTTCCTTTAGGGTACAAAAAAAATCCAAGGTCTTGTCCTGAATATGCTTATGCATCCTGCAAACAGTCCAATAAACACAACTGAGACAATCTTGGAAACCAATGCATTTGAAAGGATGAGCAAATTACAACTACTACATCTTAGTCATGTACAACTAGATGGATGTTATGCAGATTTGCCTACAGGATTAAGATGGTTGTGTTGGCTTCAATTTCCTTTGGATTCTATACCTATTGAGTTTCCTTTGGGGTGTCTAGTTGTTCTTGAAATGCAATACAGTAGCTTGAGACAAGTCTGGAAAGGAACAAAAGTATGTTACTCCACGCATTTCAATTCAGTTTTTTTTTTTTTTTTTTTTTTTTTGACCAATTGCATTTGTTAAAATTAACTCCTACACATTTTTTTTTCTTTCTTTGTTTTTATTTGTTTCCAGTTTCTTCCTTCGTTGAAGATCCTTGACGTCAGCCATTCCCATGCCCTTAGTGAAATCATTGACTTCTCACTTTGCCCCAAACTAGAGGAATTGATTCTTGTGGATTGCACCAGCCTGATTGATGTTCATGAATCCATTGGAAACCTGGAGAGACTCGTGTACTTGAATATGAGGGATTGCAAGAATCTTAGGATTCTTCCGAAGAACATGTGCATGCTTAAATCACTTGAAACGCTCATTTTATCTGGTTGCTCAAATCTTGATGAGTTTCCAGTGGAGATGATGAAGGAGATGGAGTCTCTAGAGGTTCTTGCAATAGATGGAATTCCATTAAGGCCAAAAACAAGTTCAACTATCTTGAGTTCTTTTCCATGCTCTTTGGTAAAGTTAAGCCTGCAGTGGTGCAATCTTTCTGATGATGTCTTTCCTACGGATTTAAGTAATCTATCCTACTTGCGAAGCCTACAGTTAGGTGGGAACCCAATTTGCAGTATGCCAGTTTTCATCAAAGGTTTGAGAAGGCTCGATTATCTATCTTTCCAGTATTGTAATAGGCTCGAATCGCTTGTGGGGTTGCCAAAAGTACACCGATTGACAAGTATAATAGGATGCATATCATTAAGAAAAATAAAATATCTTCCCCATGCGCAAGGGTCTAAATCGTGCAATCTGGGTGGCAACGACAATCTAGTTGAGTGGGAGCATAGATACAAGATAGAGCCTATTGATAGAGTTGATGTGGAAATAATCAAACTTTTGGGCTTGTGCAACTTGGAATCCATGCCAGCTGTTCGAATGTGTCAATCATTCGCAAACAGGGATCCAAAAGAGGTCCCGGTCCAGGTGCGCCTCTCTTTCTCTCTCTCTCTCATAAGTCTTAAATATATAATGGGAAAGAAATGACTGAGTAATGTTGTGATGATTATGGCAAATACATAGGTACTGTATCAATATGGTATATTCAGCACATTTTTTGCTGGGAATGAGGTTCCAGGCCGGTTCAGTTATAAAAGTACCAAGTCCTCCATATCTTTTATAGTCCCTTCGCTACTTGCTAGTCACAAAATTCGAGGCTTGAACATCTTTGCTACCTATGCGAAGGCGGGGAATTATAATGGTATATGGTCCTCAAATGATCCAATACTACTGACTAATGTGAGTAACAAGAGCAAGGGTTTGAAGTGGATCTATAACCCAGATTTCGATGGAATTCCAGGAGAGGGAGAAGATATGATATGGTTGAGCCATTGGAAGATGGAGAACAAAACAATATTACAATGTGGAGATCAAGTGGTGGTTTCTGTAGTGGCCAGGCCAGTTAACTATATTATAAAGGAGTTTGGTGTCGAGCTTGTGCAAGAACACCAGAATAATATAATGATAAGTACCCAACACAACACCAAATCAGATCCTAATTATCCATATGTCATCGGTGGAGATTTGTCCAATTGGGAGCATATACCAGGAATATACTTCCTTGGTGTACCTGAAGAATGTGTTGAATACGCTATGAAAGTTCCGTGGGGTAATTTATATCGCCTCATCATGGACACTGATGAAGAAGACACAGGTATGCTATGTCGTTGTATTGCAACGAATTATACTCCATCCAAACACTTCCAAGTCCGTCTGTATTCAATTCAAAAACATAAATTTTTTGTTATTTGTATGTTTTTCAGACAAAGAAGAAGGGCAGGAGGATGAACCTGATTACACAATTGGAAGGACGAGGGATGCCAATAACAATTGCGGCCTCAAAGGCTGGAAGGTGCTCCTCACAGCTGCCGGCTTATTTTTCACGCTTGCCCTAGTATTTCGGTCCTCCATCTCCCAGAAAAAGAAGCAACAGTAGTCCACAAACGATCCATGAGTTTGTAATTTTACTTGACACAGACATCTTTGGATTCCCTCCTTGTTTTCAAGATGTTTTCTGCCTTTAAAAACTTCGGGTTCAAAGCTAAGCGCTTAACCACTTGAGATATAAAAGCCCCTAGCAATTAGATATCGAAGTTCAAATTTGTTCAACATCACCAAATATTGCATAGCTCAAATGTGTTCAACATCATCACATACTGAAATACATCTAGCATTAGAGATGCTATTTTGGCACCATGGAAAGCAAAAACATCCTATTTGCTTATAAATGTCAAAGTTACAGAGTTTAATTGTCATTTACAACAAAATCATGCCTCTTAAAGACTCGACTCCCATTGAAAAATTGTGTAAATAAATATAACAGATACAAGATTGAATAATATATCAAATAAATATAACACCAGACAATTTCTTAGCCTGAGATCTAATGAGTATACAGTTGGCTCAGCCTTGCATCGCTACGGAGCTGGTTTCCATCTTCAACCCGAATTATTAGGGTCAGGAAGCATAAGGAGGAACAGCTGTCTCTGAGGCAGATAATCAAATAGTGCAAAATTAGAATAAAAAAACAATAGAAGTTCAGGATTGATGAGGTTCCAAGCCCACTACAAGCTGCTGAGACAATGCAGTGTCATTGACTTCAAATAGTGCAAAATTAGAATAAAAAAACAATAGAAGTTCAGGATTGATGAGGCTCCAAGCCCACTCCAAGCTGCCGAGACAATGCAGTGATATTTAAAGTTGGTTAGATGAGTCCAAATTGTTTGAAAATCATTAACGAGGATACCAGGCATCACATGGGAGGATAAAATCATTAGGAATTTCAAAAGCCACAATTTTTAAATGCAATCTGATTGCATGTTCTTTGAACTACAGGAAATGCAATCATTCATGTATGAATTATGAGATGCCCAAAAGATGATGGGTCAATTGTCTGAAAAAATTCTTTCAGTAATGTCTGGTATAACTCAGAGTCATCCAAAAGTTCAGGGTCACCATCAGCTTGTGCACCAGCATCAGATTGTGTCACCTATCAAAGTGAAAGAATAAAATTACTCAATTTGTGCAAATAGAAATATAATTTTTACAACACATCAACAAGGTAATTAAAGCGGACCTCACAGGCTGCACATCGAAGTGGCAAACAAATCAAAATTTCAAATAAAAGATAGGATTAAAGCTAATGGTGCATGAAGAGTACTGCAACACTCACATCCCTCGCACACTGGTTGCATGATTTATCCTTATAGAAATAAAAGGCACAAATTCGTCAAGTCACATCGGGGCCATCCAAAAAGAAAATTGAAGCAAACACCACAAACAACCTAAAATTTGCTCAAACGTCATATCAAATTAATTACAAACAGCATCCATCCCAAACAATGAATTTGTACCTCATTTGGGAGTTAAAATGGCATATGGGAAAATTGTATTCCATGGTACATTTAATTCCAATGAATTTATAAATGGGTCCTCAGATTAGTATCGAATTATAGTTAACCACAATTATATGTAATCAGTACCTTTCCCTTTGCAGTGTTCTCCCCCACAGGAACCTGCACATCAATAACTCGTGTTTAAATTACTATATGTTTAAAACCAATCTTGTTATGATGTTAAAAATATGAAGCACAAATATATCTGAGCATGCGCGTGAGACCTTGGGAACTGTGAAATTTTCATTTTTTTGAATTTAGATATAAGAGTTAATGTCTTACGGTGCCAATTACAGCAACTGCTAATTTCCACATCTGCATCTGCCCAACCATTCTGCTTGGGTCTTTTATATAAGAAGTAACTTGTTCACTAATATTCTGCAATTGGAAAAAGAAAAATGAATTCCTAGTGATATCTGGCAAAGCATGGCACAAGTCAGTCATAGGGAAAGGCATGTTAACAAGTTCAATTATAGAACCAGACCTGATTAAAAGCATGCGGCTTGCTTTTAATATCAGCAGCGCCTGTGGTCACCTCCGTCTTCCTCTGCCATTTGTCTATCAATTTGTTTCTGAAAGTAGGTATTCTACAAGATACAACATGATAGGCCTTAGTTAGACCAAGTAACCCGTATGGAAATGCACATACTAATGAAAAGTTGAACATAGGAGAATAAATTCCTAAAATTCATGCAAGAAAAGTTATCGGAGCATGAAAGAATTTATACAGAACTACCCAAGAGTATACTTAAAGTAAACATACGGCAACATAGATTTTTACGCGTATAATGTACAAATGAATTTCATGGTTCTCTGCCGGCCCCTTTAGATAACAAACTAATTTAATTTCGTACCTAATGGAATTTAAAGGTCAGAAAGCTATCGTCTAGTATATTTCATATTGAACAGTTGAGACAAACTTAATAACATAATAGCCTGATGTATTAACTGATAAGAACTAAGTATTGAAATATAACAAAAGTTAAACACTAAGGTATTGAAATACAGCAATAATAGTAAGGTACTTGAATCCACCATTTACAAGAATTTTAAACAATACAACAACAACAAAGCCTTTTCCCACTAAGTGGGGTCGGCTATATGAATCCCGCGCTTGGTCCTGTGTCACTTCTTCTAACAAGAAGTTTAAACAATAAAACAAAAAAATTCCAAAGTTCTTGCTACTCCAAATGGATCGGCGAAGTATGGCATGAACAATAATGTTAAAAAAATATTTCAGTTTTATAGATGGGCTTCAATATAACGACAGCATATCTAGATAGTAGAATATGATTCTTCTTTTCAGAATATCCAAATTATGATCTGAGTACATCCACAGCAACTAAGAAATCCCTGACCAATCCTCATCACCATCACCATCACCATCAATGTTCTTAGATGACTGTGACTTCTTAGATTGTCCAGATTCACCTACAAAACAGGATATGTATTAGGAGAAGCAATACATGAACATATGCAGTATGAAGTTAATGAAAACACAAACAGTACACACTAGGACAGCCAATTAGACCATGGTAGCCCAAAAGCCTTTTTTTTTGCTTAATCAGGCTAAGGCTTATATGAGATCAAGCGGGAAAGATTTGAGCTGACATCCTTGGCAGATTTGAAATCTGGCTTCATCTTGGCTATCCTCAGATCAGAAAACAAGACTCAACTGATTTACCTTCTATGCCAACATTATGCTTTTGACAACAACAACAATTACCTACCTCTAGACCCTATAGAGCCTTTATAGACCCTTTTTTGACAACAACAACAACAACAACAACATTATGCTTTGGGCCTTTATAGACCCTTTTTTTAAGGGACCAGTTGATGGCTTTTCCACAACAATTCACTTTTTTCAGTGATTGAAAAGACTCATAGAGGCATTTTAGCCTCTCACTGACCACCATGGTGCAATTCACCAACCCCAAATAAGGATGGACAAAATACCTGCGGGTATGAGTAACCGCGGTTACGGACCCATTTAAAATTCATGATTACTGTTATGAGTAACCATTTAAATAACGGGTAATGTTAGGGAGACCAAAATTTAAACAAAATTTGCAAACTAAATGATGGGTCACCAATAGGAAATAACCACGTTAATCAACAGTTAAGTAATAATTCAATCAGTAGCAACCACATCATTTGATAACCAGACAACTTTAAATATAGTTGCTAATCCGGATTTTTATGGAAAAAAAAAAACAAGACATATAGAGATTGATTGTTAGTTTATTACAAATAGTGAAAAATCGTTGGATCGTTACAAAGTACGTTGCTCAACCGAACCAAATAGCAGATTTGTTCACAAAAGCATAGGGAAAGGATTCTTTCTCAGTTATATTATACAAATTGGAAGTTTTTGATATTCACTCTCACTAGAAAGAAAGTATTGAGACGTCAATTACATTCTATCCAATTAAGAGTCAGATTGTCATCCAAATTCTGACTAATTAATTTTTAAAATTTTTTTTTGCATACCAACCATGTGTGGATTTTTCCTATTACTATTATTATTAGCCATTAATTGTGAAATGCATGGCTGTAGAATCTCATTGATTTTATCTCTTTCCTTGTAAGTGAAGGTTTTAAGTTCGAATCTTATAGATGATAAATTCGATACCAAATTAAATTGCGTATTGTGTGACTAATGTAAAATATATCATTGTACTCAAAACAAAACAAAAAGAAAAAACAAAATTATGGAACCTATGGTGTGGTCTTGTCTTGTCTTGTCTTGGTGCGGTGTGGGATGTCGAAAACACAAGCAACAAAAGTAGTGGTGGTACCGAAACAGAGAGAGACCCCTTTGGGTTTCTGCTCCCTTTTTCCATTCTTTTGGGTCCAATTGTGCACTTTACGTTCATGAAATTCCGACCACAAACTAAATTAACGAAATATCAAGCCCAATAAAATAAAGCCTTAAGAGGAAATAAGTCTATCACTCATTGCCCGGGCTAGTTAGCCATTGCAATGCTATCGTAGGAGCCATATTACTAGTTGATGCCAAAATCTTGGACTTTGGATGTTGGATGCGACTAATGTCCAAATACTTGTATTCAATCTCTAATGTCCCAACGAAGCTAAGTTGTCACAAAAGTTTGATGATGGAGGTTTCGCTTGTTCATACTCACTATGTTTTGTGTGAAACCAATATGGCGAGTACAAACAAGTCGAACATTCATCATCAAACTTTTGATATCTTCAATCAGTGAAAGAATACGCTAAAGTCATGGTTTATCTCTATTGAAGTAGGTTGATTAAAACTTGAAAATATTTGTAAGACCAAAGCGTTTAGCTCAAAACTAATCCAGATTTCAATCCTAAATTAAACTTTTGCTTCAATCACATAAGTAATAGCAAAAGGGATTCTTGTTATTACATTTGTGTCGAATAATAAAACCAACTGCAGCTTGCCCTAAATTATGGACGCAACCATCAAAATTTACTGGAAGCAACTACAAGTAATTCTTTAAGGACTTGCTACAGTACTTACAAATACTTAGTGCCATTACAATTATGATCATGAATGCTTATCGAATATCATTGCAGCATATCTAAGATCTAATTTTCAAATGAAGATAGTACCAAGTACGTGTTGGTATCACTTACAAAATTTAAGAAAGAAAACAGATAATTTCTTATGGATGAGTAATGTTGTGATGATTATGGCAAATACATAGGGACTGTATCAATATGGTATATTCAGCACATTTTTTGCTGGGAATGAGGTTCCAGGTCGGTTCAGTTATAAAAGTACCAAGTCCTCCATATCTTTTATAGTCCCTTTATTACTTGCTAGTCACAGAATTCGAGGCTTGAACATCTTTGCTACCTATGCAAAGAAGGGGAATTATAATGATGTATCGCCTTTATTTAATCAAATACTAACTAAAGTGAGTAACAAGAGCAAGGGTCTGAAGTGGATCTATCGCCCAGAGTTCTATGGAATTCCAGGAGAGGGAGAAGATATGACATGGTTGAGCCATTGGAAGATGGAGAACAAAACAATATTACAATGTGGAGATCAAGTGGTGGTTTCTGTAGTGGCCGAGCCAGATGGGTTGATTATAAAGGAGTTTGGTGTCGAGCTTGTGCAAGAGCACCAGAATAATATAATGATAAGTACCCAACACAACACCAAATCAGATCCTAATTATCCATTTGTCATTTGGCATTAGCACACCACCGAGTGCATTAGAATATGGTTTTCAGTTTTGGGTGCTGCATGCATTAAAAGTTAGTGTGGTTTTGGTTGTTGTCGCTGAGCATGAGTGGTTTTCTGTAGCTGTTGAGATTTATATTGTAAGCAGAATTCATATAGCAGCTTTCATATACGGCACATGGTAGTCGGCAGTACTGCATTTAGAAAGAGAAAGTTATATTTTCTTCACTGTTTATTCAAAACTTATATGTTGCATGCTCTGGGTTTTAAAGTGAGTTGGCATAGAGTTTTTATTTGAGAAAAATCAATTTTGTGTCCATGTGTTTTCAAAGAGAATATTTTAGTTTTTAATCACTGATTTTTCATTGTGTTTCAATTGGAAATTAATTATGAAAATGTGCCTTGTGATTTTCGTAATTGGTTGATTTTAAAAAATTATTACATTTTGCATGATCGCGTTAGTATCTTGCAAAGTTCGAGGAGACAGTGATTGACGACTGCGTTAGTGGCGTGCCACTTTCCACTTGAAGGCTGAAGAGATATCGGGTAGCAAAGCGTAGTGAAAAAATTGTCTACTAGTATGTGGGTCTAGTTGATGAGTTTTGTAAGTCTTTCTATACTCATTTCTCTTAGTATTTGTTCTGGCTTAAGAGTCTGAAGATTTTCTCAGTGGTAGCTTTTACCACGTTAAATCCTACATCATGTGTACACATGTTATTTGTCTTTTTAATTGCAAATGTGTAGGATAAACTTCCACTTATTTTCTTGTAGTGAACTCTATATTAGACGTTCATCAACATATAGAGTCCACGACAGAGGACTTTGCAACTATATTATTCAGTGCATTGTTTAATTTGTAAAGCTCTCATTTATCCTAATAATAAAATATAATCTGTACAAGACATTAAAAAAATGAAAGTGTCTTTCAACATTTTGGATGTCATGTATGGCCATATCCTTTATTTCCACCATCCTTATCAACCGGATGGGGAGATATGTCTTTATCTTACAAACCCATAATGTGGCAATCGTCTATTGGAAGGGTAAAGTATGTTTTGAAATCACGGTAAATATTGATTGAGTAATGACGCCTCTAAAAGTAAAATTTGGTTATCTGAAAGAATCTCTTATAAAATAAAGTAACAAATAATCAATAAAAGTAACAGTACACAAAGTTGGACCTTTCCCAACGTTGAAATGAAATATGAAAGTAGACCAAGTTGCTATTATTCATCTACTCTTTTTTTTTTTTTTTGAACAAACGATATTATTTACACAATTACACCAAGGAAAGGGAATGGGCTAAGCCTCACAATGGGCTAGCAATAATATGGTTCAAATTCGCATTTAGTGAGAATCAAACTTAAGACTTCTCACTTACAAGTGAAGATGAATACTATTAGACTGTAGTATTAAATGACATTATTCATCCACTTTTAAATAATGAATAATCAAGAAAAACATTGCACGGGGTCCCCCTCTCGTCATTGGAATTGTATCCTCTCCTAAGCTTGGGCTCAGGAACCTCCTAACCAACACACAAAGGCCGTTGGATTTAGATCCAATAGCTATAATTATTACAACTTTTAGAAGGTCCCCTGGTTGTAGTCGTTGGATCAAAATTCAATAATCCTTGTGTGTTGGTCAAGAGGCTCACTGAGGAGAGGATCCAATTCCTCGTCACTTACCATTAGTGGCCATCACTTCCCTGAGCAAAAGACATCTTTCCAATTGCTTGACCAAAACAAGCATTGCCTTGGTTGTCTGTCCATCAATAACAGGTCCACATCTCAACCCACATATAATGACGTCAAAGGAGAGGGGAAAATGAGAAGGAAACTCCGGAGGGTAGAGAGAAGGAAAAGAAGAAAAGGAGAAAAGAAAAAGGGAAAAGTAGAAAAGGAAGGAGGAAAATGAGAGGAAATTTCGGAGAATAGAGAAAAGGGAAGGGAAAAGGGGAAGGAAGCTTTCCCCTGTTTCTTACATTGTAAATTGTATTTCGTATAATGAGAAATCAATATTCTTATCCTGTGAACGTAGACACAACTTGCCAAATCTCGTGACCATACGACAAATCTATAACTACATAACAATTCAATCAACCACTTTAAGTTCAACCATACATGAACCTAAATTCAAGTTTTTCTAAACTTTCCTTATGAAACTACCTGAACATTAAAAGTGCCACATTATTATACAGTTCTATCAAGTTTTAATTTTTGTCTAATTACCTCATTATCTTTAGGACAATCAATCTTGTAGTTGAATATATAAACCTTCGAGATGGTGATATTGGAAACACTAGTTGGTGGGTTGATTGGTAGAAATGGTTCCAACAATTTAAAGACGAGAAATAAATATGGAGCAACGATCAAAATGTGTTGTATTTTATCACAAAAAATCTTTATGCAACTAGAAGTGCATTTTATCACAAAAAGGTGAGCAACGATCAAAATAATTGTGATCTAGACAATCACATGTAACACAAGAAGTAAAATTTTCTTTTTCCTTTCATCTCTACAACTAGTGGCCGACCATGACTTAAAGAAACACTTTTTGGGTCAGTGCATTGGAACGACCCATTTTATAATTGTTTGTTAATTTTCCTGGAAGTAGATAAGAATGACCTAATTAAATATCTCCCCTGCACACAGACATTTGCATTGCACCTAACAAAGACCAAGTTTTTTGTTTGTCAACCGAACCACATCAATGGCTCTTGTGAGAACAACTCAAGGAACATCCTCTAATTCCAACACTCATCGGCGTTATCATTACGGCGTGCTCTTGAGTTTTAGAGGTGAAGACACTCGCAAGACGTTTACCGATCACCTCTACATAGCTTTGATAAACGCAGGATATCGCACATTTCGAGACGACGATGAACTCGAGACAGGAGAAGATATCAAGTCAGGACTGAAGCAAGCAATCCAAATGTCCCGAACTTCTGTCATTGTGTTTTCGAAAGATTACGCGTCATCCAGATGGTGCCTTAACGAGCTTGTCGAGATCGTTGACCACAAGAGGACTAGCTCGGACCATGTGATTATACCGGTCTTCTACGATATTGATCCGTCCCATGTGAGGAAGCAGACGGGAAGCGTTGCCGAGGCATTTGCTAGACACAGGAAAACTGAACCCCCCGACATGATGGAGAGATGGAGGAAGGCACTTGCAGAGGTTGCAAATCTAGCTGGGAAGGTTTTACAAAATCAAGCTTATGGGTAACATTCAGTTTCTTCTTTTGTCTTCTCTTTGTTGTTGTTGTTGTTGTTGTTGTTGTTGTTGACCTGTCCAATAAAATCACAAAATATTGATTTTATTTTGGTTTTACAAAATCAAGCTTATGGGTAACTTTCAGTTTCTTCTTTTGTCTTCTCTTTGTTGTTGTTGTTGACCTGTCCAATAAAATCACAAAATATTGATTTACTCAACATAAATGTTCATATGACTTCAGGCAAATTGCTCCAGTAACAATCTCATTTGAGGTCAATTAAGTTGTCATGATCTGTACCATGATGATCAGAATTATTGATCGAACCTTAGTATAATTTTTTATCGAACCTTAGTATAAATTTCTCTTGTGAATTCCATGATGATCAGACTTCGTATAATTGATTGATATCGGGTGCACGACATGTTTGATTCATCTTTCATTTTATTTGCAAATTGTTAGGTACGAGTCAAAGTTTATCAAAGATATTGTTCAAGCGATTCGTGATAAGCTAAGTCGCACACACTTGAGTGTTGAACCAAAACTGGTTGGAATCCATTCTCGAGTCGAACACATCAATTTATGGTTACAAGATCCATCACATGATGTTGGTATACTTGTTTTTTATGGGCTGCCTGGAATAGGGAAGACAACCATTGCAAAATGTGTTTACAATTCAAACTTTGAAAGTTTTGAAGGAAGCAGCTATGTTGAAAGTATCAGAGAAACTGCAAGTCATCCAAACGGCTTAGTTCAAATACAAATGCAAATTCTTTGTGATATTTTAAATGGGAAAAAAGAGAAAATACACAATGTTAGTGAGGGAATAATTAAGATTGGAAGAGCCATAAGCTTGAGAAGAGTTCTTCTTGTTCTTGATGATGTGGACCATATGGACCAATTTGATGCAGTACTCAGAATGAAAGATCAGTTTTATCCTGGAAGTAAAATAATCATAACAACTAGGCGTAAAAGGTTGCTAAAGGCACATGAAGGTATTACGGTGCATGAAGTTGGACCCTTGGATTTCTATGAATCATTGAAGCTCTTAAGCCAGCATGCTTTTGGCCAGGATCATCCCCTTGAAGGTTATGAGAAATATTCTGAGGAAGTCGTACAACACAGCGGAAGACTTCCATTAGCTCTCAAAGTTTTGGGTTCTTCTCTTTCCAGGGAACCTAAACGTGTATGGAAAAGTACATTAGAGAAGTTAAAAGTTATTCCAAATGGTGAAATCATGAATAAATTGAGAATAAGCTACGACTCTTTACAAGATGACCATGACCAAAAATTATTCCTCCATATTGCTTGTTTCTTTATTGGAAAGGATGAAGATTACATTGTCAGAATACTAGATGGATGTGATTTCAAGACAATCTGTGGCATTCAAAATCTCAGAGATAGGTGCTTGCTGACAATTGATAGGGACAACAAGTTGTCTATGCATGACATGATTCGTGACATGGGACGAGAAATTGTTCGCCGAGAATCATATGAGCCTGAGAATCGTAGTAGATTGTGGCGCTCTCAGGATTCTTTCGAAGTATTGAGAGAAAAGAATGTAAGAAATGTTCATTGTATGTGTGTGTGTTTGTGTGTGTTTCTTTTTCTCTTGTGCTAATTAACCAATTGTTTTTCCGATTTCTTTTATAGGGTACGCAAGCAATTGAAGGTCTTATGTTGGACATGCATGAACTGCTTACAAACAGCCCTATAAACTCAAACGAGAATGTCTTGGAAACCAATTCATTTGCAAGGATGCACAAACTGAAACTACTCTGTCTTAGACATGTACGACTGGACGGATGTTATGCAGAACTTCCGACAAGGTTAAGATGGTTGTGCTAGCTCGAATTTCCTTTGGATTCAATTCCTGTTGATTTTTCTTTGGAGAAATTGGTAGTTCTTGAAATGCAATATAGCAACTTGAGACAACTCTGCAAAAGAGCAAACGTATGTTACCCTACGCTTTTCAATCGACTTTCCTTCTTTCTTTAGGTTTTAATTCTTTAATTAATTTCATATGTTGGAATCAACTCCTAGTTCTTTTTTTGTTTGTTTATTTTTATTTGTTTCCAGTTTCTTCCTTCGTTGAAGATCCTTGACGTTAGCCATTCCCATGGCCTTACTGAAATCATTGACTTCTCACTTTGCCCCAAACTAGAGGAATTGATTCTTGTGGATTGCACCAGCCTAATTGATGTTCATGAATCAATTGGAAACCTGGAGAGACTCATGTACTTGAATATGAAGGATTGCAAGAATCTTAGGATGCTTCCGAAGAACATGTGCATGCTTAAATCACTTAAAACACTCATTTTATCTGGTTGCTCAAATCTTGATGAGTTTCCAGTGGAGATGAGGAAGGAGATGGAGTCTCTAGATGTTCTTGCAACAGATGGAATTCCATTAAGGCTAGAAAGAAGTTTAACTATCTTGAGTTCTTTTCCATGCTCTTTAGTAGAGTTAAGCTTGAAGGGGTGCAATCTTTCTGATGATGTCTTTCCTACGGATTTAAGTAATCTATCCTACTTGCGAAGCCTACATTTAGATGAGAATCCAATTCACAGTCTGCCAGTTTTCATCAAAGGTTTGAGAAGGCTCGATCATCTATCTTTCCGGGATTGTAATAGGCTCGAATCGCTTGTGGGGTTGCCGAAAGTACACCAAATGACAACTATAGAAGGATGCATATCATTAAGAAAAATAAAATATCTTCCCAATGAGCAACAGTCTAGAATAAACTATGTGGGTGGCAACGACAATCTAGTTGAGTGGGAGAATTATTACAAGATAGAGCCTATTGATAGAGTTGATGTGGAACTAATCAAACTTTTGGGCATGTGCAACTTGGAATCCATGCCAGCTGTTCGAATGCGTCATCCATTAGCAAACAGGAATCCAAAAGAGATCCAGCCGGTCCAGGTGCGCCTCTCTTTCTCTCTCTCATAAGTCTTAAATATATAATGGGAAAGAAATGACTGAGTAATGTTGTGATGATTATGGCAAATACATAGGGACTGTATCAAGATGGTATATTCAGCACATTTTTTGCTGGGAATGAGGTTCCAGGCCGGTTCAGTTATAAAAGTACCAAGTCCTCCATATCTTTTATAGTCCCTTTACTACTTGCTAGTCACAGAATTCGAGGCTTGAACATCTTTGCTACCTATGCAAGGGCGAGGAATTATAATGATATATCGCCCATAAATCATCAACTACTGACTAAAGTGAGTAACAAGAGCAAGGGTCTGAAGTGGATCTATCGCCCAGATTTCTATGGAATTCCAGGAGAGGGAGAAGATATGATATGGTTGAGCCATTGGAAGATGGAGAACGAAACAATATTACAATGTGGAGATCAAGTGGTGGTTTCTGTAGTGGCCGATGTATTGATTCAAATAAAGGAGTTTGGTGTCGAGCTTGTGCAAGAACACCAGAATAATATAATGATAAGTACCCAACACAACACCAAATCAGATCCTAATCATCCATGTGTCATCGGTGGAGATTTGTCCATGCGGGAGCATATACCAGGAATATACTTCCTTGGTCACAGTAAAGAATATGTTGAAGACACTATGAAATTTCCGCGGGGAGTTTTATATCGCCTTATCATGGACACTGATGAAGAAGACATAGGTATGCTTTGTCGTTGTATTGCAATGAATTATACTTCATCCAAACACCTCCAAGTCCATCTGTATTCAATTCAAGTATAATGTACAAATGAATTTCATGGTTCTCTGCCGGCCCCTTTAGATAACAAACTAATTTAATTTAGTACTTAATGGAATTTAAAGGTCAGAAAGCTATCGTCTAGTATATTTCATATTGAACAGTTGAGGCAAACTTAATAACATAATAGCCTGATGTATTAACTGATAAGAACTAAGTATTGAAATATAACAAAAGTTATACACTAAGGTATTGAAATACAGCAATAATAGTAAGGTACTTGAATCCACCATTTACAAGAATTTTAAACAATACAACAACAACAAAGCCTTTTCCCACTAAGTGGGGTCGGCTATATGAATCCTGAAACGCCATTGCGCTCGGTCATGTGTCACTTCTTCCAACAAGAAGTTTAAACAATAAAACAACAAAATTCCAAAGTTCTTCTTGCTACTCCAAATGGATCGGCGAAGTATGGCATGAACAATAATGTTAAACAATATTTCAGTTTTATAGATAGGCTTCAATATAACGAGAGCATATCTAGATAGTAGAATATGATTCTTCTTTTCAGAATATCCAAATTATGATCTGAGTACCTCGACAGCAACTAAGAAATCCGTGACCAATCCTCATCACCATCACCATCACCATCAATGTTCTTAGATGACTGTGACTTCTTAGATTGTCCAGATTTACCTACAGAACAGGATATGTATTAGGAGAAGCAATACATGAACATATGCAGTATGAAGTTAATGAAAAGGCAAACAGTACACACTAGGACAGCCAATTAGACCATGGTAGCCCAAAAGCCTTTTTTTTTTGCTTAATCAGGCTAAGGCTTATATGAGATCAAGCAGGAAAGATTTGTGCTGACATCCTTGGCAGATTTCAAATCTGGCTTCATCTTCGCTATCCTCAGATCAGAAAACAAGACTCAACTGATTTACCTTCTAGAGTGGTTATTTAATTGATGTTTCCTTGAAAGCTGTAATCAAAATCACAAAGTGTCTACGTTTTATTGATCTACTCTGAACTTCCCACCTAATACGCGTAAACCATCACATATTTGGATTGGCTTGTTTTCAATAACCTAATCATTAAAATTCTAAATAAGAAAAACTTCCAACTATTTCTAAAAAAGAACATTTCAGACTCCAGTTAATTTAGGCAGGACTGAGGATATAAAGATGAGTATTTTCTTCCTTGACCAACCAAATAATGGAAGAGAAGGAATTTCTCCCCTTCTTTTTCCCCTCCTTGCAGACTACACAAGCCATTCAGAAAGGAAGAAATCTCATTCGTGCATTGTCAACTCAATAGCAATCCACTTATTTAATTCCTCTTGTAGCCATATCTTCTAACCCAACCCAACCCAAATTATATGCAGTTTATTTAACAATGCAATCAATATCCAAGAATAAGGTCCAAATATGTGACCCTTAATCCTGGATGTCTATATTTCTATCGAATGGAACAATTTGCAATAACACTATGTTTGCTAGTACTTAACATAAATACTTACACCAACAACAACAACAACAAAAGATTGGCACAAAAAGCATAGGTCCGTAAAACACGTAGTACTTACCACATGCAATGAATGACACCCTCAGAAGCTGATGCTTCCAGGTTATCATATACGTAACTGCAAACTTGGTTTCTTCAAGGAGAGTGAAGCGAAGCCCATCCTCGAAAGAGGGACGAGCGGAATGGCTTCAGTATCGGTAAAGAAAGAAAGAAAAGGTAAGAAAAATACCTCATCCGAAACATATAGGCAATAGTTATACTAAAACAACAATTAATTGAAACCATTGAAGGGGAAAAAAAAGCAAAGGTGGATAAAAACTTAGAATTCAACAAAGATTGTGTTCCCAACCTAAATACATTATAAACTTAACAATTAAACTGCAAAATTAACAACAATTAAACAAATTAACAAACTGAAAACCCACAAAAAAAAAAAAAGGGATGAATACCCAAAATGAGAGAAAATGAAACAAATAAGGGAGTAAACAGAGGGATGAATACCCCAAAACCTGACCTAACGTACTAAAAAATTCAAAAATCTAAGCTAACAGTAAAGAATCCAATTTAAAAAATGAACTTATCTTTGGAAATCCAGGCAAGCAGCACAAGTTCATGACCCCTACCCCTCTCCCTGAAATCCTGACGACCCATATGGTTTTCTCTGACCATCCTCACTCTCCCACTTGTGAAATCCATCTGCAGAAACAGCGCTGAGACCCCTACCCCTACCCCTCGCTCTCTTTCCATCTCTCTCTATCTCTCTCTCTCTCTCTCTCTCTCTCTCTCCATACAAATCTATACAAAACCACCTTCTAGCAAAACAAAGTTCATTATCTACATAGATTTCAAATTTCAATTCAATAGATTACATAAAATACTCCAAACCAAAATCGGATAGCATTCATAAGGTAAAACTACTTACTTCATGAGAATGTCATAGTTCTCGGGATCCAAAGAAGAAAACATTGCATCCACATCTTTAATAGCCATGATAGCTCTATCCACGATTATCCAATTTGCAGACTGCAAAACTCAAAAAATAAAAAAAATCTCATCACTTTCTTTTCATTCCACACCAAACAGGACACCTAAGAACATAATTAAACACGGGAACAATTCCGATTGGTACCCAAGAAAACAACTGGAAAAACAATAAGAAAAGAAAGTTCTAAACTTGCAATTCAATTTTCTATTCCATCGATTGATTTTCTCGGCAACCAAACAGAAGATTAGCAAAAGAGAAAAGACAAACCTTGCAGCGCTCGTCTTTGGTGTTGAGAGGCGAGCCTTCAAGAGCAGTTTTTAGAGCTTCAACTGTCTTGTACCTATATGAAAAACGGATCAAACAGTTAAGGTTTTTGGGGAATTACCAAATCATTAAGGGGTTTTAGAGAAAATTGAATGTACAAAGGGGAAAGGATTTGGAGTGATACAGTTTGAATAAGCTCTCGATCTTTCAAGATTTTGTTCGATTCTGTTGATTATGGCCATCCCTCTCTCCCTCTCCCTCTCCCTTTCTCTTATTTGTTTCACTATTTAGCTATTCAATTTTTTTTTTTTAATCTCCAATAACATAGTTTATTTTAAAAAATTTAAATATTTTATTATAAACAATTCAAATTCAACCCACGCTTAGGCGCTTGCTCTTCCTACAAAAGACAACTCCATGCATATTAAGTCGTGATCTTCTGAAGTATCTTGGGAGATGGTAGACTTTGTTCGATCAAATACGGAGAAGAAGGCGTGCACACTGAGGATTCTTATCTTGAACCCTTCGCACCATGCTCGTGACAATCATCCGGCTTCGTTTAAGCTTCTTGCTTTTTCTAGACGAGTCTTATCTCTCTTTATGTTCTTCTTGCTCAAGGTTCCACTTTTGAGTTTTATTATTTTCTTAATATTTAGCTGATAAATAGTTGCTCTGTAAATCATTTTTCTATAATATAAACTCTTTTATAGAATATGTTGGAGATGTGTCTTTTATTTATACAAATAAATAAAAATTTAAAAAAAAAAAAAAAAAAAAGCTTAAAAAACATATGGGAAAAATTCTTCGTAGATGTGTATCTTCAAATTTGTATGTTCGTGACTCATCTAGTTTGCATTGCTATTTTGCTAGGTGCTCAGTAAGCTCTGTGTTGCACCAAATTGCTTTTGTTTTGTTCTTCGGTCAAATGGCCTCCAAGCTCCAGCAGATAAGAATCATCAGATCACCGCTCCACAAAATCCCGTAAATCAAAGCAAAACACAAGGTTAATATCGTCATTCCAACCAAACGGTGATAATTAATAGCTCAAATGTACTAGGTACTTCTGAGTCTTATATGCCTACAATATATCCCGTTTCGTCGAATTTCGACGGCGGGTGTGAACACCCATGTGGGTATGGTGAGAAAAGAGAGGGTGAGAATTGGAATTCTGGGTATTTTGTGGGTAACCCTGTTGCTGCCGTGGCTCAATCTTGTCATGAAAGCAATGTTTTTTTATGCCCAATGCAAACCCAGATCAATGGTTGATAATCAGCCTTTAGGATTGCCGGTTCGAAGTTTGAAACCGAGGGTGAAAAACCGGGACAGTTTTGAGTTTGTTGCTATGAGTGAATTCGGTTTAGGTTCTAAGGGCTATTTTAATAGCTCTGAATTTGGGTGCTACAAATTTAGAACAGAAGTTCAATGAAGCTGCTGCATCACCATCCCCAGTTCATTGGCGTTCGCGTTCTGCAAGGATGGAAAGGGGGAAAATAGTAGGTAGTAATGCTCGTCCTTCGCGTTTGAGGCCACTCTCAGTTGATGAAACTCAGTATGAATCAATGAAAATGGGTAAGAATAAACATCGATCAGACAATAACTCACTATATAATTTTTTATTTTTTTTCAACTTTAAGGATTAAAAAGAAGCTTTAAACAAGGAGCAATAATTTCATGTTGACAAACAAAACCTATTTCATGGATATTACAAGAGCTATTATTTTGAACAACACACCTTTTGGTTCTTCACTGCTTGACCTTTAGGAAGATCTTCATCCTTATGACCCTTTAGATTCTTTAAAATATCTCTGCATGGGAACAGGGAATAAACGAAGAACAAAATTAACTTCATATGTCAGCCTATATAGCTCCATTTTGTGTTTTCGTAGTAACTAAATTAAATAGATACTAAAATTAGCCTTGAGCTAAGATGGAAATGGCACTAGTATTCAATTTCTATGGCTACACTCGTGGACTATTTACATTATTCAATGACTTCTGTAACCTAATAACAACCAACCTCCAACTGCTATGCATATTATCTCTTATATTCACGTTATTTAGCTCTATGTCTTCATTCTAATTAAGGATCACAAGTTTATAATTAAAAATAAAAGGATTGTGAACGGAAGTCTCTTACTGCTCTTGACGACGAAGATTCATGCATTCTTTCTCTAGTTCTTCCATCTTGGCATCTTTACTATCGTTTTGCCCATCAGCATTTTCCTCTTCCCCAACTTCTCCTCCATCTTCTTCTCATTTTCTGATTCTTCTTCCTCC